TTTATTGTATGCTTTTCTAGAACATTCTGATGCTACTTCAAATCCACCTTGGCTTGATGACTCTTTAATAAATGCAGCCAACTGGCTCAAGAAAAATAACCCCTATTTATATGAATACACAAATTCATTTTTAACTACTTTGTCTAATCACCCCTCTTTCCCAATAGCAATTCATTTACCTAATGATAATATATCTCTTGTATGACTAGGTGATATTATAGTTTCGTATTAGAACTTTCTAGCCAAAACTCACAATCAAGATGCCCATTATAGTCACCTAATGGCTGGATTTCTAACAGATAGCAGATCTAACAGAATTCGAATTTTTTCTGATTTGTATCCCAATAGTTATGATTACTATCGTGAAATACATAATCAGTTAGAATTTGCACAATGCCACCATGAAACCTTTGGCAAATATATCAAACATCACTTACTTTCATTAGACCCTTGATTCTATTTACATTGCTATTGGCCAGCCTGGGTATATTTTTAGTTAGAAAAACTTAGAAATTTCCAAAATTTATAGCGATTAGTTTGTCAATCTAATGCTGACTCAACACATTGTTTACCTACTGCAAATGAAATTATTGAACAAAGCACTTATACAGATAACTAGCGCTATAATAAGACTAATACCATACCTATTTCCATGTTTATCCGTACAGAGAACATCTATTTCCAACAAAAAAACCCTACATTTAAACACAATGATATGTGAGTTAGAACTTCCATCAGTATTTATTACTCTGTTAATAGCAAAAGGTTCATGGTATCATCTTCGTAATATTCTCATCAACATGGACAATTGTGATCTACTACCAACAAATAGACTGTTATACACAACCTTATATTTTATTTACAAACTACAAAATCTTAAAAAATCTATTTAGAAAGATCCTGAGATTTGTGAATAGGGAACATACCAACATTTCTTTGACAGAATTAAATTTCAAAATCGTGGTGCAGCCTACCTCCATAGTGTTTATTGGACTACTTCTAGTATAAATGAAATGATTAATTTAAACACAATTAAATCAACTCTTCTGGATCCTAATTTAGAACCAAATCTTTTTCAAAAAGTTCATTTATTACAAATATATACCTGTAACTCCAAATGTGGAGAATCTGCACCAATTGGTTCTAGATTTAAAAAAGGATTTCCTTGTCCCTTGGCTGAATACACATATTATGATCCAAACAACTACTAATATATATATCAATGTCTAATACCTGAAGACCAATGAGTAATCCCATACTATGCCCCAACTCTAATGATATGGAATGCCTATATGAATGCCTAATACATTACCAATAAGGGACTTGCCCATTATATAACTAAATATATAAGCAAATCTGAACCAACTCACTTCTTCAACATACAGGAACAATTATGCTATCAAGAATACATTTATGCTCACTGAATAGGATCAATGGAATTAATGTTTTTGTTACTTAGTAAATGCACTACAAATTCATCAATCCAGGTTCAATTCCTAACAACTGACCCCCCATCTACCTGATTTAAAGCTGTACTACCATTATACATGATTAACTCTAATGATGACAATCCTTATCCGACATGTCTTATATGAACACCGAACAATTTTGGTGTAAGTTATTTAGCCACCTCCTAATACAATACACAAATTTTTATCAACTCTTAAGAGATGAATAAAAATTTGTATATTTATATTAGAAGAAGGCTAAATAAGTTACACAAAAATCATTCAGTGTTCACATAAGACATGTCAGATAAGTATATTATTGGTCAAATTGTGGCTAATAATTGCTGATTTATTCATAGCAGATACCATATTATGATGTGACCTTTGGTCACGTCATAAAAATAGTATCCTAGTGAATAATCAGTTATCATCCACAATATGACAATAACAAGTACTTATTGGTTCGACAAAATAGAAAAATATTTTACTTGCCCAATTGATCCCATGTTTGACAATATAATATACAAAACTTATTTTGAAACTTATAAAATTAAATCTACTAGACTAGCTAACTCTCAAAGAACAGTATATCAGAATACCTTAGAAAACTTCATCATTAAACGTAACAATAAAATACTTGTCCGTTATTATTTCTTAAGATCAGAACATATTTCTACCAACAACTCTTACTAAAATATCCTTGCAGGTCCAAACAAGAAATGCCTGGAACTTATCAAATATACTGAGATCACTTCTTCTCCTGATATCCTGACTTATATCAATCTATAATTAACCAAAATTTAGAATTTATCACAAATCAGTCAACCTATGCCTTAAACCAATACAATATAATAATCGAGACAATTATCTTTTTATTACAACCCATTCTTAGCAGTAACATAATTGATGTTATTAAAACACAATTAAACTCCCTCAAAATACTACTCCATATAATATTTGCAAATAT